CTCTCTCTCTCTCTCTCTCCCTCCCTCACCCCCCTCTCTCCCTCTTTCTGTGCGCGGTACACATGTGTATGTAATGTATGTGTTTGTGCCCGTGGAAAGAAAATAAAAAACCAAATGTCTTCGAAGACCAGCATTGAGATAGGGTAGCAGTAGTGAAGATACACCCTAACGCCTTTCTTGGTTCCAAATGCAAAAAAACACAAGAACAAAATATGCCTTATGACAGGTTCCTAACTACTACTTATCTGGACTCAATGACTGAATGCCTGTTAAATAACCTTACAGTATTGACATGGGGCACTGAACCTGTGGGAGATCAGCACTTGATCTGGTGTGGTATGCTCTTTCTCTGTTATCAAGCATCTATCGTCCTGAACTCTCTATATATATATACATAATCTATCGTCCTGAAATGTTTTCTTCTTCTTTTCTTTGCATGTTACTCTCTTGTAACATCTCTATTTTTCAGCATTTATACGCCTTAGACCTAATTGAGTAGCACATGACGTAAAATTATTACAAAAACAAAAAACCCCCCAAAACAATAAACTTACACAATGGCCAATGAAAGGTTTCTTACAATAGTTTGTCCAACTAAAAAAGAACACGGTTTTTACAGATAACTTTTGAGTGCATGCACCACTTTCTACCAAACTTTTACCAGTTATCGTGTAACGATTTGCATTTATTAATAACTGTAAGTAAATGGTTCTGGTCCGAGTACTGGTAAGCAATGTTTTCTCTTTGCATTTGTTAAATAATATTTTATTGCGTAACAAAAACTGGAAGACTTGCAGAGCCCGAAACCTCAGAACAATCCACGTCGTCATACTTATGTATTTTAAAGGTTGAGGAAGTTCATCTTTTCCTTCTTTTTCTATATGGCTACGCTTAGTGCAATTCTTTGGGTTTGGAAATGTCAAATTATCGTGTGATTTAAAGGGAGTTTTTCTTGTTTGATCCTCACAAAGTAAAATAGTACCCATCTTGAAATATGCACCAGAACAGTACAGTAAATATGTCTATCTTCAACTACAGATAGACGAACAGAAAAAAGGACACATGTGCAGGGAAGAAGTACCCTTTGACAAAAACCTGTATAGTTGAAAAACATTATATTGCGTTTAAAAAATACGGTTCAGGATTGCCATAATATATATA